TGCCACGTGGGAGCATGGGGGACCCACGATGCACATGGGAGTAGGCCAAGGAGGAGGAAGGGAAGGCTACGGCATGGGCTATGGAGAGCCAAGAGAACCACCATGGAGGGGGGTTCAAAATCCTCACCTTGGGGATAGGAGGGGAAGACCACAAGGGGAAGGATTTGCCCAAGGGACTTGGGGAGATGGAAGAGCCTTCAACCGAACTGACAACCGCATGAGGAAATTGAAAATTCCTATCTTTGAAGGAGAGGATGCTTATGGATGGATCTACAGGGTGGAGCGCTATTTTGCAGTAAATGGCATCACAGAAGAGGAGAAGTTGATGGCGGTTCCGGTATGTTTGGAGGGGAAGTCATTGGCCTGGTTTCAATGGCTTGAAGGAAGACAACATGTTAGGAGTTGGGAGGAGTTCAAAGACCTCCTACTTCATAGATTCCGGGTGTCCAACGAGGGTACACACTATGAGCAGTTTGTATCTCTAGTGCAGGAGGGCACAGTGGCTGAGTATAGGGAGCACTTTGAACTACTGTCAGGCAGATTGAGAGGGATTCCAGATGACCTTTTGGAGGGGAATTTCATGAAGGGGTTGAAGCCCCACATCAGAGCAGCCATCAGGGTAGTTGCTCCACAGGGGTTAGTGAAGATCATGGAGACTGCACAGCTTGTAGAGGACAAGCTGAAGGTGGAGCCACCGAGGAGATCAGGGGTGTCTTACCCCACTTACCGACCACCACTCATGATTGGAGGCCCAAGGGCGACTACCATCCTTCCTCCTAGGGAGATAGCTAAGGAGAAACCCACTACAGCAGTGAACCAAGGAGGGTTCAAAAGATTGACTGATTCAGAGTTGAAGGAAAAAAGGGCCAAGGGCCTTTGCTACCGATGTGATGAGAAGTTTACACCGGGGCACAGGTGTAAGGAGAAGACACTACATGTGATATTAGTGGGGGATTCAGAGGAGGAAGGTGATACAGGGGCAACTGAGGAGGAGGGCGAGGAGGAAGAGCATCCTCATTTGGCTATGGTGGAGGTTTCACTCAACTCCATAGCCGGATTGACGTCACATTCCACCATGAAGCTGGAAGGGGAGATTGCAGGTTACAAGGTGATGGTACTGATTGATAGTGGGGCCACTCACAATTTCATAGCTTGCAGATTGGTGGAGAGGGTGGGGCTACTGGTGACCCAAGGGAGAGATGTAGGAGTCATGTTGGGCACCGGGAAGAAGGAGCGCTGTAGCGGGCAGTATAAGGGGGTGACCCTTACATTGCAAGGAGAGGAGGCAGTGCAAGACTTCCTACTGCAAGACTTGGGAAGTACTGACGTGATACTCGGGATGCAGTGGCTCCAATCCTTAGGTGAGATGAAGGTAAATTGGAAGAAGTTATACATGGAGTATGGAAAGGGGAGCAGGAGAGTGACACTACAGGGAGACCCCAGCTTATGCAGAGCCAGAGTGGCCTTGAAGTCCATCTTCAGGACTTTGAGAGATGAAGGAGGGTGCTATTTGATAGAACTACAGCAAGTAGATGGGGAGGCAGAAAGGGAGTCAGAAGTCATACCGGAGGTGGTCCAGGATCTTCTACAGCAGCACTCCACAGTGTTTCAGATGCCCAAGGGGCTACCACCTGTCAGATCTAGAGAGCATGCTATTGTGTTGAAGGCGGGGGTAGCACCCATCAGCGTGCGACCCTACAGATATCCTCATGCTCAGAAAGAAGAGATTGAAAGGCTTGTAGCAGAGATGTTGGAGGCTCAGGTGATCCAGCCCAGTGTGAGCCCATTTTCCAGTCCGGTACTCTTAGTGAAGAAGAAAGACGGTAGTTGGAGATTCTGTGTAGACTACCGAGCCCTCAACAAGGAAACTGTGTTGGACAAGTTTCCTATTCCTGTAGTAGACGAGCTTTTGGATGAACTTGGGGGAGCCACCATCTTCTCCAAGGTGGACTTGAAATCTGGTTATCACCAGATTAGGATGAGGACTGAAGACATTCAGAAGACGGCATTTCGGACACACGAAGGTCATTATGAGTTTTTAGTGATGCCGTTCGGGCTCACTAACGCTCCCTCCACCTTCCAAGCCCTGATGAATCAGGTCTTCCAGCCCTACTTGAGGAGGTTTGTTCTAGTTTTTTTTTTATGATATATTGGTGTATAGCAAATCTCTGCAGGACCATATCACCCATCTTGGGGTGGTACTCACGACCTTATTGGAGCATCAGCTATATGCCAACCAGAAGAAGTGTTCTTTCGCTCAGAAGGAGGTGGAGTATCTGGGACACATCATTTCAGAGAGAGGCCATGGTGAAGTGGCCTACACCAAAATCCCTTAAAGGCCTATGGGGATTTTTGGGACTTACTGGCTACTACAGGAGGTTTATCAAGGGCTATGGTTCCATAGCAGGTCCTTTGACTGATCAGTTAAAAAAAGGACAACTTTCAATGGGGAGAGAAGGCAGAGGAAGCCATGAAGACTCTGAAGGAAGCCATGACTAGTGCCCCGGTTTTGGCACTTCCAGATTTCACCCAGCAGTTTGTGGTTGAGACTGACGCTTCAGGAGTAGGCTTGGGAGCGGTACTCATGCAGAATCGTAGGCCGATTGCCTTCTTCAGCCGGATCTTATCTACTAGAGCAAGGCTGAAATCAGTTTATGAGCGGGAACTGATGGCCATTGTGTTGGCTATTCAAAAATGGCGACCTTATCTATTGGGGCAACGATTCATAGTTCGTACGGATCAGCGGAGTCTCAAGTA